TGCAGGGCTCCAACTGCGGTCTGACCAGCGCCCGATAGAGGGGAAGTATCGCCTCCTTCGATCTATTCGTCATGCATCTGCTGATGCACGATAAAGTGCCATTGGCTTTTCTGATGGCTTCGTCACACTGCCAGCTCATGTTCATCTTGGAGTCCACTAGGACTCCAAGGTCCCTTTCCACTTCCGTGCCACCCAGCAGGTCATTCCCTAGGCTGTAGGTGTGCCGGACATTTTTCCTCCCTAGGTGCAGCACTTTGCATTTCTCCTTGTTGAACTGCATTCTGTTGTTTTCTGCCCACTTGTCCAACCTGTTCAGGTCGGCTTGCAGCTGTTCCCTGCCCTCTGGCGTGTCCACTTCTCCCCATAGTTATGTACAGCTGTGACTTGGGTCAGATTCTTGTTTATACTGAGGCCCCTTTAGCATACTTGAGCAGCAGGAAGGGCCTTACAGTAGGTAAAAGATACACAGAGGCGGAGTGGGGCAGGGGAGTATAGTACATCCTCTTTGATTCCTGCTCCACCAAAACTTTAAAATACTGAAATACAAGACGAGGTTTTTTTCTCCAATCAGTATATTTCTCCTCATATATTTGTGTAAAAGAAAACCTCATTAAATATATTGTCTATCATTCAACTGTTGCCAAAAGCATCATGTGCCCAGTGAAGGAAACTGATTATGAAGTTGATTAAATGCAGCCAACACTGAGCATGACTACAAAACACATGGCCCAAGAATAGGTTAGTACATCCCATCTGAATAACATATATGGTAATGCCCTTTGTAAACAGTCCCCCTCAGTGCCAACTGTTTTTCAAGTCATGGTGAGCCACTATATTGAATACATTTAGAATTCCTCTTCACTTCTACAGCTGAGCTGTGCCTTTTTTTTCTCCCATTGAGCAAATGTGGTAGCTCAGGCATAGAAATGGCTGACAGTGAAGTATTAGAGGCACTGTCAATATACTCGGAAAGACTAGATTTTTTATTACAGGACTAATGACATAATATCTTTTGCCCATTTAAGTATTTTTGCTTAGTTTGCTGGGTTTTTTAAACTTAATATAATCCAGCAAATTAGTGCACATTCCAACAGTTATACTGGTTTTCGCTTTGATCTTAAACAGCACTAGGCCCCTTGCATATTAGTAAAGTTTCTAGTTTCTCTTTAACTGGAGAAGAATGTGTGATTATGCACCACACCTGCACCTCCCTTTTCAAAATCCTAGATCTGCCCATGAAGAACTGCCCACAGTTATGCTGTCTTGAAGCTACCAGTGTAAAATTAAAGTAAAAAAAGCAATGAATCAGGCCCTACAATTGTATCCATAAGCAATATTACAAAATAAAAATATTCACTCTGAATTTTTTCCCTTATGCTTTTCCATGGTCATCTTCTGTTATTACAATAGCACTACAAGATTTGTTTGGTTTCACAAGAACCTATAATAATATTTAGCTGCTGTCACCAAACTGTCTGCTTTTATCCAAGTTGTCCTTTCACAGCCTGCAATCCAATTTAATTAAGTTGCCTCTAGGGTTTGCTCCTGACCGAACACAGTTAAACCATGATCAACACCAGTTCAGCTGCACCCATTTCTGATACTGCTCATCAGCTAGGCATAAAATCTGTTAGTTCTTTGTGAGGTGTGGGTATTTTCCATGAAATTACAGGAACAGGGTATTTTCCTCATAGCCTGGCCAAATACACACATAATATTCCCTACATGCAACACACACTCAGAAAATAGTATTCACCAAAATCTCCAAAGCTGAAAGTGCAATTGTCTGAAGTTTCAAATTGCAGCTTCAAATATTCTACTCATAATGAACTTTGGGTTAAAGCAACTGATTTTGTAAAAGTTATCTGAAGTTTTTAAGATTGTGTGAGAACTTAAAACTTCTAGGTTTTTTTGCTATTAACGTGAAAAAACAATCTAGTTTCATTAGAGTTTGAGGAGCGATAGTGCAAACAAACATATTTGTTGATTTATGTATGAACTGCACACAAAGACACCATTCCAGGCTCTGGTCATCCTGAGGAACTATTCTATCTAACAGAAAAAAGTACAATAGAAAGCAGCAGCTACTATTAAACCTAAACCTTCAGCACAGAACAAAACAAGATCCCAGTCCTCCAGCTTGCAGTAAAACCCCCATCTACTCCACACACCTCAGCCCTACAATATACCCACCCAGAAAGAAGAATTTTGTAATATTTCATAGATATCAATTGATTTAGGCTATTTCAGGCAAGGTATAAAAAGAAGGTCAAAGCACATCCCTGGCCAAAGTGGTCCATGCCGCTAGTTACTTTTTATAACTAGCAGCACCCAAGCACAAGTCCACAGCAAACTTACAACTTGTGCTTCTAATTCTATAGCAAAACACCAGAACCACCCAGCCCCCACCCACCTTTACCACCTCCCTTTTCAGACCAATGAATTCTTAAGTTGAGGCTCTTTATTGACCTGGAGGGATCCATATCAAGCACTTCTGATAATCACAGGTGAAACTGTCACATGAAGATCAAGCCAGGGAGAAAATCCCAAGTGTTAAAAATAATCTTAACTAACAAAAGTCATGAGTCGGCTTCAAATTCATAGAGTTGTTTAAGTAATAAATACTGAGCTCTTCTAGCTTAAAACCCTCTTGGAAAGTCCTTGAATTACGCTGTCAGGCTTTTGTTTGCAAACTTACTGCATTTTCTTTTTCTTCTACTTTTTTAAATGAAAAGGAACACGTGTCTCAAAAATGTGACTTTAAGAAAAACAGCAAGAATCATTACACTTAAGATAAATTTACAAGAATTGGCAACGCTACAATCCATCAGATTGGCAGGTGTTGGGATGTGTAGGGTTTAATAATTAAGCCATAGCAGATCAAAATCAAGAGGTTGAAATCCCTAGGGCAGTGGTTTTCAACCTTTTTTTTTTTAATTTGTGGACTCCTAAAAAAAAAAAAAAAAAACCCAACACAAACTTGGAACGGAGATGCAGCCCCCTTTGAAATGTAAGTATGGGTATTCACATACTTTTGATTGATTATAGTCATCTTTTGCAGACCCCTTAGACAGGAGTCTACAGACCACAGATTGGAAAACATTGCCCTAGGGAAACCCACAAGAAGCCAGTGCAGATTGTAAAGAAACTGTGTCACATGCTCTCAATGAAACACTGCACTTATCAGGCATACTGCTGCATTCTGTACTCACTTCCACTTTTAAAAAGTTAGGATGTAACTAGATCTGCTTGAGTATATTCTGCTTTATGGACAAAAATAACTTGTCACTGCTTTTTATGCCTGTTGGCACCATAGACCCAACAGAGATCCAATAGTTGCTATATTGTTAACAGAACTATTAGCTAAGTTCCAGGTGTAGACAATGAGTGTCTGGATGAGCTGAACAGAACCTGTTTGTATGTCAGGTCCCAGTATGAGGGAATCCTGCTCCAATTTGGAAACGGTGGAATTGTCAGACTTGAGTGGTAGCTAGATCAGACATGGGGCTTGCAGAGTTAAATGTTAAGAACAACTGATTGTAAAAAGAGTAAAATGGATCTGATGTCACATGGGTCCCACAATGCCATTCTTCATTTCCTTTTCAGAGTAGAACCAGACCTTAGGTATTTTTATCTACTTTGTTTCTGAATTTTAATTAATGATCTGCCATGATATGAAACAATATGTCCAAGATTGCTAACATTTTCAGTCATAATGGGACAGCCTGGTGCTGACTGTGATCTATATCCCTATCAGATTATTTGGTTTAATGACATTGTTTGGCAAATTCACCACAGTACTCGTGTTCTTTACTCTTCCTTCCTCTCATAATGCTGTGCTGTATTCAGGGAGCAATGCTTGGTCCCTTCTTCTCAAATGATCAATAGCCTGGCTGCTGTCTGTATTTTAAAGGTACCTGTCCTCAGCCTGAAGTGTCTGAACCTGCCTCTTTAGGTGATAGTGTTTTTTTCAAATTTGGGAAAGACTTTGCTAGAACAAAGCTATCTATCCATTTTCCAAATGGATTTTACTTCTTCACTTTTGCTTTCCAGATGTACTGAACCAACACACAGGACCTTTAGTCAATGGGGTCCCCCACAACTTCCAACATCACAACCACATTCTCAGTCTCCTACTATCTGAGCTAAAGGAGAACTATACAGAAATACTAAGCTTTTGTAATCTCTGAAATTGGGCACTGGCAGTAGATACATCATGACATGCACTAAGCCAGCATCTGATACTAGCACTCCTCTTTGAAGTCAGGTGCAGAGTAGGAAGTTACTATTTGAGAAGCAGTCACAGAAGCATTCCTATAACTAGGAGACCTTTACTTCTTATCATCTGTCCTGTAAGTGCCCAGCATAAGAAAGAAAAAGATGGGGTTTCAGTGACAGATTTATAATGATGGCAGAGTGGGTCTGAACTAAACAGCAGAGCAGGACACTCATTATTATTGTGATTGATCAAATAAAAGAAGGATGGAAATACATTTATGGACCCAACTCCTGTTTCTCCTCTTCCTATGTTATTGTTTAAATATATAAGGAATCAGGTTTTCAACTGGATGAATTTTGATTCCAGCAAAATTATGTGGCTGATGTCATTTGTTAAGTAGATTATTTAATCAAATCAGCTAGGAAGCATATCATAAGCCTTCTTCACAACTGCAAATAACCATCAATAGCTGTAGCTGTTTTGCCCTTCTCCATTACAATTCTCAGGCAGGGTGAAATATTTAACAAACAGCTTGGTTCCAAGCGACTGAAAGCACTAGCAAACTGAAGATGAGACCTATAGCAAGGAATTGTTCACAACAGATGGTAGAAATTTCCACAGCGAGGCCAAAGTCTGGTGTCAGTTACCTTGAAGAGTCTGCACTGGAGTCTTTCCAGTCTGAATGGGTGTGGGAGAGCACAGGCTGACTCAGAACAACACACTTACCTCCAAAGGCTGGCCTCATGGTGAAGTCATGATCATCTACTCTGAGAAGCTGCTCAGGCTTTCCTTTCCATGTTTTGGTTACATCATGGTTCTTCTTGTAGATGTGACTGCAAAAGACGAACCACATGGCTGATCTGTAATCACGGTACCCAAAATGAGATTCAAAAAGTGGCATCTTGGTGGGAAAGAGCTAGCTTGTCGGTGACTCCAATATTGCTTTAAGGATTGCCAATAAAATGGTAGTTTCCTGTAAGCTGTATGAATTATCATGAAAACAGCTGGGGTCCTGTCCTGGCAGAGAGAAGTATCATGGGGAATTCAAGGCACCTCAGGTGTTCTCATGATCAGAGCTATTAGTGCATCATTCTCTACATCTGACAAGGTCTTTCCCACTGCCAGCCCTGCTAGCTCAGCATGGTCTCTGAAAATCAGATTATGCTTTTTCTGGTTCAGACATCAGTGGCATTCTAGGAGTGTAGTAGTAGCAAGTGTGCTGAGGACACTCAAAAGTAAAACAATGCACACTTCTTTTCTGTCTCTTCTAGGCAAGCAGGTTTTTGTATGTAAACTAAACCAGTGCAATTTAAACCCAAACAGAGATGCCTAATTCCAAGGTGATATTACTATAGATATGCACTTTATGCACCTTTCTGACCATAATCACTCAATGTCATATGCTGCTTTAAGTCCACATATGTCATTCCCATTGATACTATGAAAACTCTTTATTAACTGACAGCAACATGTTGCTCTTTAACTTAAGAAGAGCTACTTAAGACTCTAAGTAGTAATAAATTCACCCCATTCCCTTCATGCTATTAGTATACCATAGTTCTCTCTACCTAAAGTCTACATTTATACTTAATCCTCCAATGACCTGAATAGCAAACGATACAATATATTAACTTTTTATTCAGATATAATGGAAGATATCATAAACTACAACTGCAGTCAGGGGATGGATGCAATGTCCTGAATAAAGTGCTATGACTAGCATAAATAGGGAATTAAATTACAACCCCAATAGCTAACTTGCCCTGGGCACCTATTTAACAAAATCTAGTTTTGCAATCAGATCCATTTAGGAGGGGGATTACAATCAGTAAGATTACTGAACTTCTTTGTCCTGAAAGTGACATTTGTCAAGTCTTAAATACTGATGCAGCAAATGATCTGACAGACAGCGTTACTGACAGCCAAGTGATACAGAAAAAATGATACTGTTCAAGCCATTGTTTGGGGAGGGGTTGCTGGCTGATAGAGGCAGAACTTTAGTAGATAAATTGGACTTGGCAATAGTGAAAGCAAGAACAGACTGACACTAAATGTTGCTCAAATATCTCTGTCAAAAACTGAGCTCCAGGATTACCACCAAGCTATTAAATTGTTTTTCTGGGCTGAATCAAATGCACCCATGCTCTTGAATAGTGATAACTGAAAACTTATTTACAGTCTGACCTGGTAGCTCTTACATGAGTAGTCTCATTGAAATCAATAAATCAGGCCTGTGGGCACAAGTGTTTCTCAGCATCGCATCAACAGCATTAAATATTGGTGTTGTCTATTTGCATGTACAGTTAATTAGGGCATGACACTGGCCAGCTGGAAAACACTGAGCAAATTTCTCTACTCTTTTATACAGCTCCATGGAGGTTGGTTGAAGTTGTGTATTTCACTGAGGTAAGAAATTTCCTGAGAAAATAATATTTCCAGCTGGCCAGTCTCATGTCCTTGTTAACTTCATGCATAAGTATGAAGCACAGTGCAATAGTATGTCAACATGGGTAAGAGAACCTATAGTACAGGGAGCAAATCCAGAAATAGTATGATTGATTCATTTGGAATGGATATTGGGCCCCCAGAGTTACATAACCAAATTGACTGCATAAAAACTTGGCTGGAATTCAGCTACCAGTGCTAGAGGCCTCTTTAGATCAAATAGCTCAATCACATTTGTCATTACAAGGGCCACTGAAGATCCTTCTTGACCTGTAGGGGCCCCTCTCAAGTGGGACCTAGCATAATTCTTTCACTGTCAAAAAGTCCTCCAGGAACACTGCAAGATAACGCACTTGGTTTTGCTAGCTCCCCCTCTATTATAAAGAAACTCAATCCCCAAACTACAGCAGATATAAATCTAATAAGGAAATAAATAATAAAAAGGTGAAAAAAATAGGAAATGCAGAGTATCTAGGGTAGTCAGTAGTATACACAATGAGGGGCAGATCCAGGTAGGGCTTTTGGAGGTACAGTCACACCACCCCTTTTATCCCTGCTTCATTCAAAGTTTAAAACAAACTGCTGGACAAGGACAGCTGCATTTCTATTTAGGTGGAGCTGAGGGTGTCAATAATGCCAGGGCTTATTATTATCTACTTGATTTCTTCTAATCTGTTCACTCCGTAAGTGTTAACAAACCTGGATCTTCCTGTAATCAAACTAGCCTTTCCTCTACAATTATCCTGTTTTATCTACCTCGGTAATGTTTCTCTGTACACCTCCCTGCACGTCCAATACAGGTATGTTGTTACCTAGGAACCTGTACTGGATAGGTTTATTCCTAGGGGATTCTGACCCACAACAAATCAGAGGTAGGGAGGGGAAGGGCAGGGCTAAAAGTAGGCTGAGCCACACAATCGTCAGAGGCAGGAGGGAGTTGCAAAAACAAGGCAAAGAGGTAAGGTACTGCAGTAACCTCTTCCTGGGTTATTCATTGCAACAAATAATGGAGATAATAAACCAGCTATGCAAACCAGGGTGGCATAAGGCTGAGCACAGGTACGTCCAGAAAGGTTGGTCTCCATGGGTAGGGGCACATCCAGCAGCTGAAAAGAGTCCTTCCCTCAGCCTAACTACTTGTTTCTTTATGTGGAGGGCAGCAGAGGCCAGCTATGGGCATGCTGTGAGAAGACAGGGCAGTTACAGCTATGCCTCAACCCACTCCATGGTCGGGGGCTGGGAGGGGCAGAGGGAACTGTCTTGGAGGATTTCTGAGTCAAAGCGGCTCCCGGGGACCATGAGGAGTTGAATGGGGGGTCATAGGCAACAATGGGCTGGGGGGGAGGGGGGCTTGTAGGATAGAGGGGTGTAGGGTGAGGAGGGGCTGGGACATTTTGGGAGTGTGAAGGGCAGAGGGGTTTGAAGGGTATGGTGGGGTCACAGGGATGAAGTGGAGGGTAAGAGTTGTTTTATGGGTGAAGGAGGACCAGGGAGTATAAGGGACTGCAATGAATTTGGGTGCCAAGAGGGATAGGGTAAGGCTGAGTCAGATGTGATTAGGATGGCGAGGTTCAGTGGGGGTTGTGGCATGGTAGAGATGAGTCAGTTCAGAGTGCAGAGTGCAGTGTGTTCAGGGGTGCAGCTAGGGGGCAGGGTAGGACTCAATGGGGCATGTGGGGGATGGTGGGGTCTGAGGGTGCTTGGGACCTGTGGGATATCAGGGAACAGTATGGAGCCCAGGGGATATTTGAGGTGGCAGAGGCAATGCATAAAGGGCAGTGAGGAGCACTTTGGGGCTGTGGTAGAGTTTGAGTGACCCAGGGTCGATGCGTAGGGGGTGCATGTGGCGGTGCACCCCTTGCAAAAAGGTGCCGCCAACTGTGTTGGTGGCGCCTGCGGGAGCTCCCTGCTCACCACCACCGGGCTCCAGCCACCACTGGCACAGCCATGCCCCCACAGCCAGCAGGGGCACGTGCTGTTCATGGAGTGACTTGTGTGTTGTGGGGAAGGGAACAGTTCTGTCCATGGCCAGGCTGGGGAGTAACAGCTTTACTCCCCTGACAACAAGTACCTGCCCCACTCTGAAGCTGGCAGTCAGCACCTGGCCAAGCTCTGTTATAGTTGTTTTCACTTGGATTTTTAAGAAGGAAATGTTTGAGCAAAAGAAATTTAAACTGACAGAAAATATTTCCTACTACAAGCTCCAGTTCAGGGAAGCAACAAGAAAACTAAAGGACATGTAAAAACTCTCATACTGAGAGAGACTGGAAAGACTAGAATTAGTTGCCTCCTTTCTAAGGTTAACAAGAGAAACTTGAGAAAAAACACACAAAAAATGAATTGACCTAAGAGAAGACAGGTTGGGAACATCTCATCTCCTTCATGTGAGGACATGCTATCATTGAGGCCAAGCGCTTGGCAAGATTCAAAAATGGATTAGACCTTTATATGAATAACAAGAATATTCAGAAACTAACACACAGATGTTTAAAAAGGGATGTAATCCTCATGCTTCAGGATAGCATCTGAGCATTTGCTGGAAGGGTTAAGTCATAATGCAGACTATAGGATTTCATCAAACAGTTCTTGCATCAAGCCCCTCACTCCTGGTTGTCCTACATCAATGCTGGACTAGAAATACATCTAGTGTTTGCTGAAGTGATAGAAGCCACCATATTCCTGATGGACTTGTTCCAAAGGTTAATTACCCTCATGTAAAATTCCCATCTGAATTCTTCCCAATCTTTTCTCACAACTTTCCTCATACTACTTAACTCCTTATGCTCTCATTGGAGTCTAACCTTCCCGCAAAAACAATGACCATTAGAGCATTCAATAACATTCACAAGGCCTCTGTGGGTATAATGCAAAGTGCAAGCAACAAAGCTCATGATTAGGAAATAACTTTCCTTCTCTTCACTCTACCACATACGGATTATGACTTGTGAATATTAGAAGCGCTTTATCATGAATATCAAAAGGGAGCTATATCCGGAAAGGAAAGGGCACACCTGAGCCAGGACATTCAAGTGTAAGGAGAGATCACAGTGACAGCATTCACCTTCAACAGTAAGAAAGACCATGAAGACAAAGTGTCATCTAGTAAGGGACTGGGAACGAGGCAGCACCATTTTTTGTACAGAACTGATGTGTAAAAGGTTCACAGGCTCACATGGACAAAAAAATCCCTGCCCCTAAAGAACTCACGTTCTCAACAGGCAATTATTCAGACTCAGCTTACTTATTTTTAATATTCATTCACCTCACCAGGTATTGATGACCAATTAACATTAATAAAAACAATTTAAGATTCTTAAATAAAATATATAAAATAATCAAACAGAAAATTAGAGCAAAAATATTTTTGCATAGCTCACTGAAGTCAATAGAAAGATTACTATTAATTTAAATGGACTTTGCATCTGGGCCTTTATACCACCTTAAATATTTAAAAGAAAGCAAGAGTCAAATTTATTTTTCCAACAAAGACTCT